GAGTTTGCTAGTGAAATCAATAATAGTAGGGACTGGATGCTTGTCACTTTTGGTTTTAGTCTGAGCATTAAGGGCTCCAAAATCACCAAAAGAATACCAATCATTCATTTTAGGGACCATTTGCAGTGGCAAAGCATAATTGCTGTTGGATGGGTGAATGTGGACGGCCAACAGATGGCACTTCATATGATAACAAAAGTAATAATTAGCATAACAATTGATTTTTAGTAAAGACTTTTTTATTATAAATGTTCAAGCATGTCGGCCGTGATTCATCAATAATACCTGTAGTCGAGGGATAATGTTGAACAGCATTGTACAGCATATCTGTGAGTATGGTGAGAAATTCCCATCGGATGTTGTTTTTTAGCATCCTTAATGAGGACAGACAATCGTGGTAGACTTGCGATTTCAGGTTACCCCATGTCCAGTAATCACATGGCTTGAGATCTGGGGACCTGAGAGGCAAAGCATGACAGAAATAATGGCTCAGTATGCGATCCTTGCCAAACGATGCAAGTGAGAAATCTCTCACACGTGTAGCAATATGGGGTGGGGCGCCATTCTGCATGAAAGTTATAGCTTCCAACAGGAGTTTATCAGCCAGACTAGGGATGATGCGATTCTGCAGCATATCGGCTTACCTTGCATCCATCACACTGACAGTTTGAATAGCAGAATCACACATTTCCTCAAAAAAAAAGGGTGCAATCAGGATTCATGTGATAAATCCACATCACACTGTGACCAATTGTGAAATTGTGTAAAGATATAACATTTAGTGTAAAGATATAACATGAATTGTGTAAAGATATAACATTTAGTGAGTTAACAAAATTATTGAATACCAAATTTGCAAAATCTCAATCCTTTGACACTATTCACCTCAATCAGACAAACACAGAATCAGTCTGTCAAGCAATTAACTGACAAGGTGAATACATATGCTGCTAATACTTTGGGTATTCTCCCAGTTCAAGTGAGAAGGTACACAAACTTAATCAAAAAGCTATGCTGCCTAAATTTATTGAAGCTCTCCGACCATATTTAAGACTGAAGGTAAAAAAACTTGGTTCTTCTGATTTCACCATTGCTGTTAGATAAGTAAAAAATATTGAAAAAGTATTGAAGGATTTTGGTAGTAGTTCACAAACACATGATTACTCCCCCAAGAATAATTATTTTACTAATGCAACAAATGCAGAATAATAATACTATTGAGGATCTATGAAAAAACGTTAGTGAATTTCCATCTAATGGTAATATAATTTAACTAGAAAGTAATAATATAACTCAGAGTAGTGATAACAGAGTCTTGTCATATTTGCCAACAAAATCACTGTAGTGCTTAGCATCCTTATTTTCCCTCAAACAATACTTATCGATCATATAGAAAGGCTAGAGGAAACACTGGGAAAAATTTCTATAAGGGAAATTTTATCAGTAGAAGAAACAGGTTCAGTACTCAGTACGCTTATACTCGAGAAAATAGATTTCAAAATAATAATAAATACATCCTAAACAATAGAAAATATATTGCTTGTAGAAGCAATTTAAACTCATAAGAGATACTTAAATTCTCCTAGATACACTGAGTATTATAATACCCATAGAGGAAACAGGCAGAAAATAAATAAAAATAAGAGAATAAGAGACACTAATAAACTAGAAATTAAAAAATTCAGGAATAATATTGAGGAAAATAGTGAACAAAAATTAGCAGTTTCATGCTAGACTAACATCATTACCCAGTTACCAATAATAAATATTAAATCTGGTGACCTTCTGGCAGCATCATTGTTTGATACAGGTGCAAATTTGAGCTTAATACAGCCAGACACCTTCCAATCAATAAAAAATTATACAAAAGTTCAGTACATAAGCAGATCTGTAAAAGTACAAATACTTGCCAACCAGTTTTTTGTTACACAGCATGATGGGAATGCAAAGTATCAAATAATTTCAGGATATTATTTTATACAGAAAAATAAAATACTAATAGATACAAACAAAAATCAATTAATTATTGATAAACACACTTCGATTTCATATACAAAAGAAAAAATATCACTAACAATAAAGTAGAAGTGAACAATAATATCAAATGAGATGATTCAGATATTACAAGAGTAGCATTAAATACTAGAATTCTGCCCAACACTGTAGAGATAGTGAAATTAAACATTCCAGCTAGTAGGCAGCAAAACCAGCATATGTTATTTTCTGCAGATTAAAAAGTAGAAAAAATTGGGTCTGATTGAATCAATACATAAGTGATAGACAATATATTTTTACCATAATCGAAAAAATTCTAATTACAAAATTATTCTAAGGAAAGACGAAAAGATTGATAAGATATGTGAAATAGAGGAAAATCAATTTGAGAAACCTATATAACAAAGTTTAGAAATTAAACATATAACATTAGGCAAAATTAGAAAATTAAGGAAGGAGGAGCTAGTCCCTGACGACTTTGATTTAAACCACTTAGAGGCTGAACAAAAGATCAAAATGACTGAAATCCTCATGGAAAACTAAGCAGTGTTTTCAAAATCATGTAGCGCTCTTGGAAAAATTGACACTGTAGTGCTGCAATTAAATTTACTTCATAACTTCCCAATTCAGACCAAACCATATACTAGTCCTCGTATTGCTAAGATATATGAGAAAGAAGAAATAGCGAAATTCTTGGAAGCGGGCCAAATCTTGTCTCAGTTTTACATTCTTAGGGATGTAATCCACAGTTCTACTGGAAATGAATTAAGGATAAAATTTTAAATGGATCGAAAATTACATAGTATCCTGGCACACATGAAATATTATGAGACATCAGTTTGCTCAATGATACAGATAAGAAGGATTTTTTTTTTTTTTTTTTTTTTTTTTTTTTTTCTTAAAGATGGTAAAATGCATAAATATTTTGAAATATTTCATCTTTGGGGATTATGTTGTAATTTATGAAAACAATCAGTCTCTAAATGATTTAGTTGAAGATGACTTAACTGCAAATTTAACAAATCAACACAATTCTTCACATGAGGATACGATAGAACAGAAATGAGTATCATTAAAAGATGAAAAAAAAAAAGTAATTGGAATATTGTGAAATTTCTTTCAAGCCGATGAAATGCAAGTTAATATTTTTAATTAATTAATACTTTAGAAAACAAAGAAAAATCAGAATTTCAAAACGATATCATAAAATATAATAAATGACTTTATCAAAAAAGATTGATTTCTGCTTTTGGAAGCTATGTTTTATTCATTCTGACTTAAGAGATCAAAGGAAATTACCGTATTTGCTGGCATATAAGACGCATCCCCATTTTTATACACATTTTTTGAAGGATAAAATTTTATTACTGAACATTAAAATTCCGCCTAGTTCTTATCATTTTCTCAGTTGGGGGTGGCCCGAAATGCCTCTCTGCAGCCCTGTTTCCATGCTCTTTAGCATATGCAATCACATGTAGCTTGTATGCTTATGTTATAGCAACACTGACGTTGCTTTTGAGCCATAACTTGCCAAAAAATTTAAGAAAATTGAACAGTAGAAATTTCACAAACTTAAAAGCCGTTCACAAAAATTGGAAAGTTTAAATGAACCCAACTGTGATCATCGATGACAGCGCATGTGAATTCACTGAGCTCTATGTAAAGAAAAAAAAAAAAAATCGCTTAACTTCGAATAGAGGAAATTTCCTAGAAATGAACATGATCAAAAACTGAGTATCGATGTATAAGACGCACCCCATTTTTCAGACCAATTTTTAACAAAAAAGTGCATCTTATACGCCGGCAAATACGATAATTAGAAACTTCTTAATTTATAGGTCCCTACTGGGACATTAGAATGTGGTTGATTATTCCATGCTTTCCTTTGTTTATTTACCATGAATTAATTTTATACAGCAAAAGAAATCTCATTCTGGAGATTTTATCAGAGATATATACATACTGTAATGTACCACCAGTGAGCAATGCAGAAAATAATTGTTATTTCTAGTTAACAGCATAACAAGTAGCTTTGAAAAAAAAACTAGTCTATGAAGTTAAATTTGTGATTCCTTAATGTTAATAGAAATAAGTTCATTGCATGCTATTACTCAGGACATATTTTGAGAACTTACCAAAAGAATGTTTGGTGTACTGCAGCTAATAACCTACATTTTCTAGTAAAACAAACTACACCAGTTCAGGTAATTACAGCATGCCTGCTTTATAAGTTCATAGTGAACACATTAACAGTGAATGCTACACATTGCATATGTGAGATATTTGGACATAACACAATGAATGACCAGGCAGCCATGACCAGTCATTGGTTAGTAAAATTTCAAATTGGCACCATGCGATTGGATGTTAAGCAACAGTGAGTGGGTGTTAAGCACAGTGGCAAATCAGCAAACATCGATAATGACAGTCTGACAGCAGAATTTAAAAGAAGAAAGCAGTCAAATTTGTCACGAATCTCAAGAACCTGAACAAACTTTTATCAGATTCTTCAAAAGCAGTAAACACTGGTGGATAGCAATAGTGTGTTACTTCTCAAGGATAATGTGTGCCCACATATGGTAGCAGCAACCAAGGACACCATTATACATTTCATCTGAAAAGCAACAATCCCACCTGTTACACTCTCCAGATCTCTCACCTGCAAATTATCACTTGTTAAGGGCTCTGGATAATCATCAATGAAATATGATTTTTGTTAATGAGAAACTTAAACTGTTTCTTAACCCAAATGGCTTGAAACTCCTAGCTCAAGGACATTTATGATCACATATCATAATAGAAGATGATTAACATGGATGACAATTACTTCTCTGATTAAATTTGTCTTTCATATATTCAATGGTCTTTTATTTAATGATGTCCAAAACAGCAGATTTTTATGGTTACCTTGTATGTCAGAAATTCAACAATGAAGCAAAGAAGCATATATCTTTTGTCATTAAATGCTACAAAGAAATACTAAGAACCAAAAAATATAGGCCTACCTGGTTCATCTTGGTAGTAGTATAAATCAACAAAATTTGATTGAAAAACTACGAATCCTTCACCCATATACCGTGGAGGCTCATCGCTCAGACCAGTATATTTAGGACTAGGAGCTAAAATTACTTTGAAATTTTCAGCTTTACATTTTGCAATATGGGTAAACTGATCTAACCGAGAAGGAGCTGGCTTGGTAGTATAAATGATATGAGCTTCTTCAAAATTTACTGAAAGTGTTGTAGGTAACAAACGATTTCCAAATACTATTCGACCCTAGAATAAAGAATTACACACAGTCAAATAAGTAGGAAAAGTATTATCAGCCTATTTAGTAACTTATGTGGTCAAAAAGGGAGATACATAAAATGAGTTTTATAATCAACATGTAAATAAAAATACTGACATATATCAATATTATAACTGAGATTTACAATTAATTCATTCAAAATATTAACTTAAACAACCAAACAGAAAAAACTTTTAAGTCAGTCCTTATTCTGTGTCACATTTTAGCAATCCTCACTACTGATAAAAAACAGTTGACAAAATGATGAAAAACTAGCAAGTTACCTTATGAAAAACTCACATTATTTAAGATATGATCTAATCGATGCAACAAAATTACAAATACAGGAAACATTTATTTCGAGTATACTGTTTGCTGTAATTTGATTGTACTAAGCATATGCTTGAAGAGCATTTACCTTATTTCAGGTTCATCTATATTTTACTGGAAGAGTACGTCCAAAATTATATTAAATCATTATTTTAATTCAAATATTTCATCTAATATAATTTATTTTATAAAGATTAATTAACTACACTTCCTTATATAACAAGTCATATACTTTCCCACAATCCAAATACAGCTGATATATAAATATTCTGAAGATTTCACGAAATATATATGCATGTAGTATTTCAAAAATAAACAAAAAATGGAATATTTTAAATACCTTATTTTTTTGCTTTATTAAATTTTAATTTATGTTAACATTTTGTGTTTCAAAAAAGTTAAATTCAATAACTGCGGCAGGTGCTATAAACAATGAAAGTTTCTAGTTATTAATATATGAATAACTAGTTGTATTATCATTAGTTATATTATTAATTAGTTATATCATTAATTCATTATGTATGTTATAATACTAGTCATCTAATATATTAATAATTAGTTCTGGTTAATATATTATCAAGTGAACTGTCATCCTCTCTGACTAGGAGTCGTTAGACATAGCTTGGCAGTGCCAACTACTTCGACGAGATTAAGTTTAGTGTAGGTCTTATGATTCAGTATTGAGCCAGCAGCACTGCCAGCAGGTAGTTGTGCATGTTGTGACATCATTCATGAATACTGTGTATAACATATGCATTAAGGTTTTCTCCCCCTTTTTCTGGTTGGTGAAGTAGACATATTTTTGGATATAAAGTATACAGTCAACTAGTGCTGGCTCTCTGGTATCAAGAAAACAAAAATTTCTGTGCATTTAAGAAATGAAGCTGAAAGTATAAGTTGTTTGCAAATAGATTAAAAGTTGAATGAAGTGCAGTGAACAGGAAGAGAGATCTTAGCAACGATGATGACAATAGCCCTGAAGATGAAACTGATGGCTTAGATAATGAAAAGCTTGGTGGTTCGAAAGTGAAGATATGGCTACTGACTCCAGAAATGCAGTATGGAATGATGCAGGACATTTAAGATTAATAACATTCATCAAGCAGCAGTAACTTTATTATTAATTCCAAGGAATGACAGTTTCCTCAATTTTTTTTTCTTTAAATTGTGGATGGCAATTTTCTACAAGCTGCAATAGAACAGACCAACAATTAAGCAGTGGAAGTTCTGTATCATCTGAAGACAACTATAAAATCTTAAGCTACATAATGCAAGCTTTTTCCAACAGAACAGCTAAAAAGTGTTCAAAATAAGGGCTCTTTCAATGTCAATAACAGAAGAAACTATCCCAAAAGAATTCCTTTCACATTTACTTCTGGAAATGTTATGAAAGAATGATGAACTAAAGTTTACTGAAATTTCTCTAAAACAATATCTATTGAAGTGAGACTACAAGGTGACTGGAAAGGTAACCTGAAAGAAATAATGAATGCAAAACTAAAAACCTAAGTTCTTCAAAGAAGCTAATGTTGGCAAATGGAAAAACAAGCAATGCATCAACAGAGAATTTGATAATGAAATTGACATATTTATAAATAAAAAAGTCAAGAAACTGAAATTGCATCATTGAATACAATGAGCATACATGTGACACTGACAGACAAAATTAGTTGATGGAATAGTCAGAAAACTATCTTAAGGCATACAAAAATTATTTTTTACTGTTGAGCAGATGAGCTTGATAAATATCCATTACTTATACATAACATATTCTAAGCAAAATATGAGATTATACAATATCCATCTACCTATAAGTAGAAAACTTTCGAACTTGTGCATTCCACCAACCACCTACGCCATTTTAAGACAGATACTTATATGATCAGTAAGACAGAAAAGAAATAAACGAATGAAAAAAACATCCAGAATTAGCAGAATGTAATGTAAGGTATGTAGATTTGATTTATTTGATCTGGACAAAGCTCACAAGGGCTATCTGTGTTAGTGGAAGGATGCTTTTATGAAGGACTTTTTATCATAAATTGGCATTCCACATTAAACATGAATGGATTCCACATTGATCATGGGGAAAAGTATGAAAATGCTGAAGCAGCCAGCCTATTCACCAGGAAGAAAATAGAAACAGGGTCGAACTACCAGTGTTCAGCAACTTTACTGCTTGGCCACTGATGGGCCCGCATAGTATGTAGATAAAAGACAAAGAGGATGGAAACTATTTCTGAATGTAAAGCATGTCCTTGAAAAACAGAATACTGTCTAGCATTCTGAAAAATACCATTGCAAATGAATATTTCCTTCACATTCATATTTATTATTTTGTTTACAGTTGTTTATATTTAAAAATGAAATAATAAATTTTATTAATTCTGAAAATATTAAATGCTATATTATTTTAATGCTTTCATTATTACCAATAAACCTTGAATACACACACACAATAAATTGATTGATTTGATAAATAAATTGATTAATTGAAACACAATAAATCTTGAATTATCAGTTTCCTGGGAAATGCACAAGGGCCAATAATCAATTTTCACATATTCAAGCCAAATAATCTACTTCTGAATGTGATTGATTCTCTCCTCCACTTTTAGAAAACTTTGCAGTGGGCATACAATTTTAATTTTATGTCTGTTTTTATGAAAAGTACTAATTACACTACCAAAGATTTATGCAATTATTCAGAGTTGAATATATAAGCATACACATGCAGAGCTGTGATTATGGAGGGGATAAAAGCACATGAGTGATTTTTGGTGATTAGTGTCCTTGTACTCCTTAAAGACACTCATCGTGTTTCTCGCAAAAGTTGGGTAAATTTTATAAGGTATCAGGTAAAATAAATAGCCATGAACATATGGGTGACAAATTGAGACATAAAACTACTGGCAGACTGGAACAGGTGGCCCGAAAGCTTAACACCCATTGTCATCTGCAATTTGTGGAAACACTTTCAGGTCACTGAATCCATGTTCAGAAAACATGGACAAGGTCAGCCAAGATCCACAAAGATGAATAAAAATCTTTATTTGGCACATCCAGCGCTGCGATACAGGACTGCTACATCTTCGGAGTTCTGAAGTGAGCTGTATGCTGCCACTGAAATCCCAGTTTCCGAGTCTACAGTTGTCCAAAGGGTTGTACTCCACTCACTGCAGCACACAAGACAGCAGGTTTAGCATGGTGCAGACAACATATGACAACAACTAAAGCACAGTGCTTTCTACAGATGAGTCAACATTCAGCCTGAACACTGATTCTCAATCTATCTGTATCTGGAGAGAACCTGGGATGCGATACCATCTTTCTCTCATCAAGGAAAATTATCATTACGTCAGTGCAATGGTTTGAGCAGGCAATTATGTTGGACAGCCACACACTCCTGCCTGTATTTGACAAAGGCTCCCTGACTGCTATGAGATATAAAGAGATCTTACAGCCATATGTTCAACTTTACAGGAGAGCAGTTAGTCTTGAGTTCGTGTTCATGGATGACAATTCTTGTCTACATAGGGCTCAGCTGGTTGATGATTACCTGGAAAATGAGGATATTTTCCACACAGATCGGTCAGCCCTATACAGCACGCCTGGGAAACATGGAAGGGTAATTTCATCTTGCCATCTCCCTCCAAGTACCGTACCAGTGTTGAAAACTGTCTTGCTGCAGGAGTGGGATCAACTGCCACAGGGACTCTCAACTGCCTCTTGTGGGGTATGTCCTCATAGTCTGCAACCTGTCTGAATGTGACAAGTGGCCATACTCCGTATCAGGCTCATTTTCAGTTCGATACCACAAAATGGATTTTGGACATCCCTGCACTATGAACTTTACTGATAATCCTACACACACACACATATATATATATATATATGTAAGATAAAAAACAGACAAATCAAAATTATAATTTAAACTAACGGTAACCCTTTAATTCTCTCTCTCTGTTCTAAAACTCATAATAACTTCTCTGGATTGCATCATTTCTAGATCATTCCATTTTGCATGAACTGTGCAAAACTAATGACATAACTCTTGGGAACTGAAACTTTTCTAAGCTAAACCAAAACCTTCCCCTTGGCGACCTTTCATATTGGATAACTATGCACTTCAGCTTCTCTCTGTGCACTGCTTGGACGTAATTTCGCTTTGCTCGTTTGCTATCGCAACAATATCAAAAATGTAGAACGAGTAGAGTGCCAAGTGATTGTGGCCACAAACGTCAACTGGAAAATAAAAATTGAATTAAAACTGCCTCGACTGCCAAGTTTCTTAGATAACAAACTCAACATTATTAGCATACTAGGTAATCAGATTTCTTCCTATTCAATATGGATCTATGATCTATTCTATCTAAATATTATGCATCAACACTGCTTTGTCTTTTTCTTGTTTTCATTACATATATAAATTTGAATTGGGCCAAGTATTTAAGTAACCCTCTGAAAGGGATGACCGGCTCTATCCGGTCATGAGATTCTTGGTCACCTGGTATATATTAGTTCACAATTTAAGATAGTTTGCTTTCTTACTTCCTTTAGTAATGTAAAGCGTAAGTTTATGAAAATAGACTAAAATAAGTAATTATACAAATTTAGTTAATAATTTCTCTTTCAATACTGGTTTTCTTGACAAATCCATAAGCCCATGCCGCTCAGATGGTTAAGATATAAAGCAACATATATAATATATACATATGTAATGATTTTAAAATGTGTAGACGAAGACACCGGAACTTTAACAGCTTTCGATATTGCTTAGATGGCTGAGAAAACAGTAGTGGCTTTAAGGTAGCTGAGTAGAAAAGCAGGATGACACATTTAGCATAATGGATCTTGAAGAATCACAATCTTTATTATTTTACGTATAACAAACCATCCTTTTGCAGACATGTTTTTGTTTCATAATTATATCAATATTTTGTTTCTTAATTAATTCAAGACAAGACTTTGTTTCCTAATTATATTTGAAGTTTCATTTTGAAGTGCGACGTCATCTTAAGCAAGTATAGATATAAAGCGTCTTGCCAGCAGAACAGCTTATGCGAAAAAAGGAAGATTGTCGCAGTACTTCATAGGAAGAAGGTTGGGAGTCAGAAAACTTTCAGTTGAGAGTTTTGGTTTACAATTAATTTGATTGGACAAGAGGTATCTGCATTAAAATGTTACGTTACATAAAAATCTGGAACCTGGGAGAAGAGATGAATTTAGGAGCAGATCACCAAATTTAGAATGCTACTTTTGAGGTTACCAATTACTTTTTTGAAACAACTATCATATTTTGTTATATCTTACATATTCCCCACCCCCTTTAAAAGAAAGGTTGGGTGAGCAGGGTGGAAGAACAAGCATTAGAGCAACAAAATGTGAAAGATAAAATTTTGAAAATACAAAACATATTAACAAACCACAAAACATATTAACAAACCTATTAACTTTCAAACAAAAAATTATTGTCACAAAATTTTGACCGATATTTTGACTCAATTTTGAAATTTCACTGAAAGCCATTAAATTTTGAATTCGGTAATAATTTTAGACACTGTATTATTTTAAAACAATTGCACATTTTAAGAGTTCTGAGATAAGAATATCCAATGAAATTTTGTAGTAAAGTTCTTGATGAAAATAGCTCCACAAAGTAAAAGTTCAAATTTTTTGTTGATGAATGTATTTCCACTATAACACAGATAGAGATGACAACTTTCATGTTATTTGTTAGAATCTCTATAGGTATAGTTTTAGGGAAGGCATTTTAAAATATAAAATTTTTTTACACGTCATTCATAAACACAACAAATTTCAAACTTTTCAATATTATGATGACATTTAAAATTTACTTATTCTTTACAAGACCAGAAGACTTCACAACTTTCTCTAAATACCAGCACATCCGTCATATTGGTTTATCAGTTGAGCAAACTGGTGTTTATTCTTCACCAGTGGCAAAAAGATTTGCCAAATTAGCAGTTACTGTAGAAAAGGCATCCGTTCCTTCGATAGAGGCAACTGGCCTTTTTCCAACTGCTGTCATTCCATTATAAAAATTAAACACTCTACTTTTATGAAAAAATAAAAATACTTATATTTAAAAAAATTAATTTTTTCATAAGGTGAGGGCCTTCAACGTTTATCTTGAAAACATTAAAGAAATTCCTGCAATTCAAAAATTTTCAAACAATAATTTCATTTTTAAAACAGTAAAAATTCAAAAATATAAATTCAAAGAGATTTAAACAATAATACAAAAATATTATTTGTATTAGGAACCTTCCCTAAGTAAAACCTTCAACTTCCTTACCTAATTTTTATCAAATTCACTAACTTTTTTCCCAATTCAAAAATACAAAACAACATATTAAATAAATCAAAAAATTTTTAAATTATTAACTTTGATATTAAAATGATTTAAACTAAATATTACCATCAATAAATCATAATACAATGCAATTACTTATAAATGCAAAGTTACTTATAATACAAAGTTATTTTAAAACGTAATTTACTCAATTTGGAACTTATTACCACTTCACTACCACATTTGATGACTTTTGATAATACTGCATTCTTTGAATATGAAAAATTGCCAATTAAAGCAATAAACATGCAAAAGAGCACAAAATACTATTTGGTATTTCACATTTCACTGATGAGGTTTCTGACCTTCAAAGCACTTTGGATGTTTAATTTTCTTTTTATGCGATGATAGGAAATGCATAAACATTGTTAATATTCGAAGCAAGCGAGAACCATTAACCATATTTCACTACATTGCGATCACTGACCTTGATTCGAAACAGTTTCGATTTTGAACTTAACAGATACTTGATGATTTTCAAAGCACTTTCGAATATGCCATTAAATCACACACCGGAAACAAATTTAATGATTCACTGCAAGTTTGAAGCAGCAGAGTTCGAAGGATATTGTGGAAACTTGCAGCAGGTTAATCCTGTCTTGAATTTTTATAAACATGTAATAATTTTAAAATGCGTAGATGAAGATACTGGAACTTTAACAGTTTTTGATATTGCTTAGATGGCTGAAAAAACAGTAGTGGCTTGAAGGTGGCTGAGTGGAAAAGCATGATAACACATTTAGCACAACGGATCTTGAAGAATCACAATCTTTATTATTTTATGTATAACAAACCATCCTTTTGCACACAAGATGTTTCCTAATTATATTTGAATACAAGTTTCATTTTGAAGTACGAAGTCATCTTACGCAAGTAAGCGGCAGCAGCATGAATGTAAAGCGCCTTGCCAGCAGGACAGCTTATGCGAAAAAGGAAAATTGTCACGGTACTTCATAGGAAGAATGTTGAGGAGACGGAAGTGTTTCAGTTCAGAGTTTTGGATAACAATTAATTTGATTGGATAAGAGGTATCTGCATTAAAACATTATGTTACAGAAAAATGTGTAACTTGGGGAAAGAGATGAATTTAGGGGCAGATCACCAAATTTAGAATGCTAATTTTTAGGTCGCCAATTATTTTTTGAAACAGCTACCAAATTTTGTTATATCTTACATATATATATGGGCCATGTATTTAATTAATATTTAAAGCAAAATACATTTCTGTACAAAGCCTTTTATCATATTCAAACCAAAATCCATAACATAATGGATAAAAAGATACTAGTAATACCTACCGTAGAAATTTCAGCTTTTATAACAGGTATTAAATCTCTCCATTCATATTTTGCAACTTGCACACTTTCATGCCTTTCTGTAGGTGCTTGCGTATCACCCTCACCACCAGAATCTTGCCAGTATGGCTCTGATCCAGGTGGTATTATGGAGGGCTCTAATCCAAACAAGTGCTCCAAACGAGAATATAATTGTGATCGGTTATAGACATGAAGTTCAAAACCATTTAAAAGTAATGACAGTCTAGTATCAGAATGGGACAAATCTGTAATTAAAACGTATAGAGAGAATAGCAAATATATCAAACATATACAGCTGAATTTATATCTAGCAAAACTATCATAACAGCTATAAAATTCATTATATCAAGACTAATCATTAAATACAAAGGCACAAAAATGGGGACATAAACATACAATAAAATACTAAACTACACTCTTATGATAATGTATTATTATTAGTCCTTATTAAAATGAATGGCTGAAAGCTATTATATAAGCTATGAAGATAAGTTTTATAAATTATTTTTTGCAATATATTTTTTAGAAAAGAAATGTGATATTAAAATTTACATTGGTGTGAAAGGTTTTACTCTTAAAATTTTCAGTTTGTGAAAAATGTTAAATACTCTATATACTTCACTATGAAAATTTAGCAGTTTTTTGATTTCAAACAGCATCAGCAAATGCAATTTTATTTTAACGTTTTATTTCCCACTTTGAAATACTTGCTTGGCAAATTTCAACACATGTTCCACAGTTTTAGCAAACTTTACATGCAGTGTTCTATGCTACTGTCTTGTCCATGTATTTCACGGAAGAATGGCTGCCAGAGCCTCAAGGAGGCTGGACTTCTACTTCCAGCCCAATTTTGAAGAACAGAACCTCAGGGGGTGGTCTGAGTGTCTCTCACCCCTCTACCTTGCCACCAAACCACACTAGGCCTTTTGGCTAGCCATTTATTTAGAGTGCCCCCATGCTGCAAAGACACTATACATTTACAAATATCCACGTCTTCTCCGGGATTCAAACCCGGTTCCTTTGGTACCGCGGTAGGCTCCTCTAACCACTACACCATCTGGGCAGCTGCAACGTTTTATGATAAATACAAATGAAGCAGTACTAAAACATACAAAACTTTAAAGAATCAGAAGGGAAATAAAATACCTTCTGCAAACCAACAGGTAGAAGTCTAACCTTTTCGGAGTTCAAGCAACCTTTTCTTCCATAGTAAGTATCATCCCAAAAGCCTGCATAGTGGATTTCAGTGCATATCGTGCATATCAACATTTCTGGCAATGAGCAAGTCAACCACCTTGCCAAAAAAGCCCAAAATGGCATTCAGTGTTCCTACAGCTTAACCCCTTAACTGCCGCAGAAAATATGCAAGATTCATTTCCCAGTGCCACAGTATTTCACACAGGGGTGCGTCGTTATGTCATGTATTAGGGGAAAATAAGTGGAAGTTTTACTTTCTAAAAACTGTTTAGTTTCACAAAATAAAGAATAAAAGAAAAAAATGAATGCACAAAATTTAATGTTTTGAGTAAAAGTATAATAAAAAGATGTTAAGTATAATAAAAGTGATGTTTTTATAATAAAAAAGATCTCTAAAATGGAGTTTCGATCAATTCATTTTTAGACCAGTAAAGCATAATATCAGGTTTCACTGTTATACCTTGTGAAATCAGTATGCCTAAAAAAACATATATTTCTTCTGAACTGGTTGAATGCCATGATTTTGTTCTTGATTTTTTGTTACAAAACGAAAGTTTCAGTAACAATATGAACTCAGTTTCAGTAACAATATGAAGCATTGTAGAGTCACTAGGTTAACTGGAAGCAGAAAAGATGAAAAATAGCAAACGCCTTCGCCGGGAATCGAACCACGGACCTCTGGAATACTGGCCCAGCGTGCAGAACCACTACACCACAAAGGACGCTAGGAAAGTGGGAGAAATACCTTATAGCATGAGCAGTTCATCAAAAAATAATTCACAAAAGATAAATGGGTTTGAAACGTCCACTATATCTTTCTTTAGTTCTGGAACTTACTACAAAAAGTAAACGAAAATGGAGGACACAGAATAAAAAAAAATATGTTTTACTCAAACAACACCAGTTGATACCATGCAATCATTACTTTCACAGCTTTAGACACACCCCTCTCTCCAATTTCTCCCCATACTTCTCTGAAATCGTATCCTTCTTTGCATACTTTGTCAAGGTCATTGTTGTGTTGCATTCCAAAACTTTGCAAATAATTTTACAGGTAGCAGCGCAAAGAAAATGATAGTATTTTGGAAGGCCGTATATATAAGCCTGGGCAGTTAACGCATCGGCTAAGCAAGGCATATATATACGCCCGCGGCAGTTAAGGGGTTAATCCTTGCTGATGCAGATGCACTAGCCAGCTGAAGACTCATTTCCCAACAAGTTAAGATAAATTCTATTCCTGAGCTAAACTATAACTGAATTATTTCATCTACCATAGCCAGACTGGGAACAAAGCACTTTAAAGGAATGAAAATATCCCCTGATGGAAAGCCTCTAATGATAAGGCCTGCTGCTAATATCTTGGATTGCTACTACCAAAATATAAGTAAACTCATTCTTACAAGACAAGATAAAATGCTGAAGAATAGGGCCAGATACATTGTTCATGTTTGCCGAAGTAAAATACATAAAGAGGGCATTTTTAGCAAAGAGTTCATGCTGGAAGAAGTGTAGAATGCCTTAAGAACATTTTCCTGGTTCTGATAATATTCATGGTAAAATGATATATAATCTTAGCCATAGAGGTAAAGAGACTTTCTTGATAATTTTTAATAAATCCTGGAAGCTAAGTAGACTTCCTCAAGATTGGAAATGTACTCTTGTTGTAACAATTAGAAAGCCTAATAAATCAGCCAGATTGCCCAACAGTTTTAGACCTATTGCATTGACTTGTTTCCCTTATAAGATAACGGAAAAAATTATTTTACATAGACTGACATTTTACTTGAATTCTAGCGATTTATTGCTGAGAGAACCATGGAGGTAGGAAGTTAGATGGAGTGGCCCTAAACCGGTTTTCCCATACTCTGCTTTGAAGCACTGGCAATCCGTTCTTTGGTGACCAAAACATTGGGTAATTTAACATTGAGTTCAATGGGTTTTGAAAAGAGGATGTTAATATTTTATAATTATGTTGTAAATATGCATATAAATGTATATATTTTCTTTTTCTACAATACTTCAGAGTCCTAAGTATATGAAAAGAATACATTTTTAAACAACATTTCATTCTGAACGGAATTAAGTGCTATACTTTTCACAGAACAGTTTGCTCAGAATGGTTTAATTTGAAATATTTTCACAAGTTTTCGTTAACTACACAAGAAAAAAAAATTAAGGACATTCGATTTGATTCGGTTAAGGATTACAAAAATTAAGAACAAAGTTTATTGTATTATTAAAATTATGCATTAATTCTTTTCTATTTATAGAGCTCTTTCCTAAAATACTTTCTCAAATATGACAGGATTTTTTAGCTTCTGAGGCATCTTTTAAATCGAAAAACATTAAGTCAATTTATAATTAACACTCTATTAGGTCCATTTCAAATTAGAGCACCTTTTATTTTAATAGCAAAATACTTTAAATAAACTTTCTCTGAGTATTTCTGAAACAGAATAAAATAAGGATTATTTTTTAAATATGATTTAAAATTTGTAACTGAGTTATTATAAAATGTAAGGGGAATAATTCTTTTAATTATACTTATCAGATTTTTTTACCCTTAATTTCCGCAATACATATTCCAAAACTCTTCTTTATTACTTTCTTACGCATCTCATACAAATTGCATTACAATACCTTTTAACAGATTGCTTTCCAGTACAAACAATTCTTGCTTAAATAGTTTTATAACGTATTTGTCAACAGGATGTCAATTTATGTTTACAATTCAATGTTAAGGTCACTATATACGTAGCGTATTCGGAAACTAAGTACCGTTTCATTCTAGCGCCATCGCAGTGCTGTGGTAGGCTTCCCGCGCATGCGCACTAGTCTTTCTTGTTCACTGACTTTCAATTGTCGCCATTTTGGTTGCTCTATGTTGTGTTTTCAGTTTGCTGTGCACATTCAAAATGTTTAAAACAATTAGCTCTCCCGCTGACTGCGAGATTCGTGCAGTGATTAAATTTTTGAACGCGAGGAATGTTAAACCGGCCAAAATTTATCATCAAGTGACAGAAGTTTACGGTGAATACGCGATAAATGATGGAATGGTGAGAAAGTGGGTAAGAATGTTTAATGCAGGTCGAACAAATGTCCACGCCGAGGCTTGGAGTGGTCGGCCTTCTGTTGTCACCGATGATTTGGTAAGGAAAGCTGATGAAGCAATTCATGAGAACAGACACTTCACAATGATAACTCTTTCAGAAGCATTTCCACAAATTTCACGTACTGTTTTGTTCGAAATTGTGTCTGACAGCTTGAATTATCGCAAACTGTGTTCCCGATGGGTTACAAAAATGCTCACTTATGTTCACAAAACAAAGCGACTTGGTAGTGCCCTGACATTTCTCACGCGGAACAGTGATGAGGGAGAAAACTTTTTAAACCAAATTGTGACAGGTGATGAATCTTGGGTGTGTCATTTCACACCAGAATCGAAACAACAATCGATGGAGTGGAGACACATTCATTCTCCGAAAAAATGCTGTGGACTTGTGGTTATCAAAACTGGCGGGAAGTTTCTTTGTCGATGGTACACAAAAACTGGTCACCCGCTTTGACGAGTGTTTGATCATTGGAGGAAACTATGTTGAAAAATAATTTAAGACATGTACTTTCATATAAAAATAAAATTGGATTCGAAAAAATTGTTTTACTATTTTTTTTTTTTTCAAAACGGTACTTAGTTTCCGAATACGCCTCATATTTAGATAATATTTATAATCATTATAAATTTAGATACATTTAATAATTATTTTTTTCACAGTTGTTTATGAATGAATAAATCCATCATTTCAAATACATTTATAAATAATTTAATAAATATTTACATATTTTGTTAAATGCAGAAACATGCTTTTTGCAAGTACATGCATAAATACCATTTTTCATTTCCAGCATGTGGAAATCATTAATTTCTGTGCATTCACTATATTTTTCGAGCAAAGTAATTTATGCTAATTTTTAAAAAGTACATGTTACAATAATATGTGGATGTGAAAAAAATTTATTTTATTTAAAACATTTTGGCATTTGGAAGATA